TATTTTGGAGTAATGAGTTGGTTTACTCCATATTTGGAGTAATCATGTTTGTTACTCCATTTTGGAGTGAGTTTTGAAGTAGGGTTGGAGATGATTTTACTGCAAAATGGAATTTGAAGGGGGTTTTGGAGTGGGGTTGGAGATGCTCTTAAAGCCAGCCGTTTCTTCTTACCGTGAATACATATGATTCTTTCTTCCACCATTTTTCTTCAGTATTTCTTTACTTTTTCAACATTCAACACGTTTTTATTTCGCTTCTAATTTCTTTAATTCTTTTTTCAAAGGGTTAATTTGGAAATGCATATAGTAATCTTATTATTTACAAACGAAAACATGCATTACAGAATTTTATAACACTAAAGGTTCAAAACATGATCTCTACTCTCACAAAAAAAGAAGAACATGATCTCTATATTTTATACCTAAAAGAAAATGTAAACAGTAATATATGTACATATGAAATACATTTTATTTCCCCTTTAATTTACAATAGTTGGTTTCTAATACAAGTCACAAGTGCAACTGAGAAAGAAAAATCTGAAAATAAACATATTTTGTCAAAAAGTGAAAGTAAAATCTCTATAACCTAAACCTATCTGCATGTGAACGTGGTGAGATTTGGCAGGAAGACAACCGACTTTCCGCGCGAACCGGAATCATCAACGGCTGCTTGTTGTGTTACGTGATTCCCGAGTACAATCAGGGTTAATTGCCATAATTACCGTTGACAAACAGGCGTAAAAATCTACAACTCTCACATGCCATGTAGGTTCCCCGACAGACCAACTAGCTCAAAATGTCCCCCCCCCCTCCCCCTGGTATTTTTAAGACCAGCCTTTGTATTTTTTTTCTTCTCATTTACTAATTTTGTGAAATAGAAAAAAAAAATAAAAGTAAAAAAGAAAAGGAAAGGTGGGTCAGAGAATACAGATGTGAGGACAGGAGACAGCAAGGAATGTATAGTTAGAGTGAAAATTCAATGGTTTAGATTTTATTTCAACTATGGGAGCCCCTAGGCCCCAGAGTGATAACATGTCAGCTTCTGTTTTATTTTTTCTTTAAGAACCGGTCCTAATGCCTCGTTGATATTTTATTAATATACTTACCATTGATTTTATCCTAATAAATTCTAAAGACAGACTTGAAGTAACTCTGTCCATAGAGGAGAGAAAAAAAAGAGACAGGGTGGTTTTAGAGATAAAGAGCGACTCTGTAGAAATAAATTGTTTTCGTTGCGATTTGTTGTTATGGTAGCTTTCTCTTAGCATCTGAAGAAGACGAATAAAGATAAAAAGGGTGCTTGGTGAGATATAGTTCTAAGGATTTACTCTGAAACAAGAAGCAACACGAAGAAGAATCGAAGAAAAAAGATGGAGTTATCTGATTGCTCTAATGAATATGAGAAGCTTGTTGTACGGATGAACATGCCCAGGTTTTTATTTCTTACTACTTTTTGTGTTTCTTATATAATCACTTTTTCTTCTTGATGTTAAAAAAATTATCATCTTCTATGAAGAAAAATCAAAGATCTTATTGCCAAATATTTGATTTTCTTCTTGTACTCAAATAATTAAAAACTTAATTCTCTTTTAAAGAGATCTTCTATTCGTCTTTTACGTTATCGTCCTTTATTTAATCAAACTCAACAAGTTCCCTAGACAAAAATTAATTAACGTATGATATGTTTTCTGAAACAAATAAGGTTTTTCTCAAAAAAACAAATAAGATTTTCGTGAATTAATGGAAATACAAAAACAATCCAACTTGTATGGAAGTCATTGTCATTCCCTGGCTTTGCCGTTCATTAGTATAATATACAGTAAAATCACGAGTCAATGACACTTTCAATATTATTTTTATTTGGTGTGTGTTTGGTTTTTGATTCATACAAAAGAGTGAGGTTAAAGGGTCACTGTCTTTTTGGTCACTTGCAGGGTCGTGATTGACAATGGAGTTTGCGCTAATTCAACTGTCGTCAAGGTTTTTACTCTCACGCAACCTTCCTCTGTTTCTTCCTCTTCTCTTCCTATTAACTTCAAAAATGTATTATATTAATATTATGAGTTTTCTTTTCCTTTTTTTTTTCTAAAGATCGATAGTGCAAGAAGCCCAGGGATACTACTCGAATCTGTACAGCTTCTCACCGATATGAATCTTTGGATTAGGAAAGCTTATATTTCCTCTGACGGAAAATGGAATATGGATGGTAATCATCCCTAAGTTACCCTAACCTTACGTTAATTATACTAATTAAGGAAGTAAGATAAATTAGTTCATTCGTTTTTTTCTTCAGTTTTTCATGTGAGCGATCTTAACGGAAACAAATTAACCGACGAGAACCTAATCCGTTACATTGAAAAGGTAAATACAAGACACCATTAATTTATAAATGTTATTTGAAAAAAATTAACGACTCAAAAATATTTTACAGTCGATCGAGACGTCACATTACACTAAAAGTGAAGGTTACACCGGGTTAACTGCTCTAGAGCTAACCGGAACAGACAGAGTCGGTTTACTCTCCGAGGTTTTCGCGGTTCTAGCTGATCTTTCATGTGATGTTGTTGAGGCTAAGGCATGGACGCATAACGGGAGGATCGCGTCGATGGTCTATGTTAAAGACCGTAACTCAGGTAATCCACTAGACGAAGATTCCGACCGTGTCCAACGTATAGAAGGGCAACTACGTAACTTACTAAAAGCAGACGATGGTTATCAAAACGACACGAGGACATGCGTGTCGTATGGTGGGAATACACATATGGAGAGGAGGTTGCATCAGAGGATGTTTATGGACCGTGACTACGAGAAGAAGTTTGACTCCGAGACCGGTCCGATCGTTTCGGTACAAAATCTACCGAAACGTGGTTACTCTGTCGTGAATTTACAGTGCAAAGATCGCATGAAGCTTTTGTTCGACGTTGTGTGCACTTTGACGGATATGGCTTACATTGTGTTCCATGCCGCGATTAGAACGGTTGGAGAAATGGCGTTTTTGGAATTCTATGTGAGACATAGTGATGGAAATCCGGTTAATTCAGAACCGGAGAGACAACGTTTGATTCAATGTTTACAAGCCGCAATTGAAAGAAGGACGGTTAAGGTATGATCATGAGGCAATTGCACAATTGTTTATCTGGTTTAGCGATATATATATAACGATCAATTTAGTAGCTAAGTCTTTTACTTTTATGCAGGGTGTGAGGTTGGAGTTATGCACGGCGGATAGACCTGGATTGTTAGCTCAAGTGACACGAGTATTGAGGGAGAATGGATCAAACATTGCTAGAACTGAGATATCAACAAAAGACGGTATAGCAAGGAATGTGTTTTATGTCACAGATGCAAATGGCAACCTTATTGATCCTGAGATTATCAAATCAATTAGAGAGAAGATTGGAATCGAAGATCTAAGTGTTTCAGAACTGTTTCCGATTAGTTGCCGAGGATCAATTGAGAAGGAAAAACAACAAGAACCACATAATCACCTAGGACACAATGGAGGAGGGACGGTGTTGGTTTCACTTGGGAGTTTGGTGATGAGAAATCTATACCAATTGGGTTTGATCAAATCATATTTTTAGGAAAACTAAACCGGGTTACTAACCTGTCCATATATACCAATTAATAGTGTTTGTTCTTAACCCACGCGGTTGAATTGGTGTATTCGGAGCAGATAATGAACCGGTGGATTTGGTTTGGGGTAGGTGGGAAATTTGGTATTGTTGTTGTGCATAATATAGGTGGGAAGTTAGATAAAAGTTTGTTGGTCGGTCTTCTTGTTGGACCAATAGATAGTATAGAAGGATGTTAGATTTTTTAGGTCTTTGTACATTTATTCTTTTATATGTACATGTACTACTATGGTTGTTAGATCATTAGCTTGTCAATAGTAGTAAGTCAGTGTGTTACTGTTATGTAAATAATAATTTTGTATGGTTGGGTTTCACAGTGAATCTATCTAATTAATTTGTTTTGTTTATGAATATCCTTCTCATGTGATCTTAGCATGATAATAAACACAAATTATGTTTTGTTTTTCTTTAGAAAGATAAGCTTCAAGGTGTTGATAAGCTTTACATTGACCAATAAACCATTAAAAGAATTATGGTTTAAGACCTTATTGGCCAAGAACGTCTCCATGACGTAACATCCACGTATGTTTATGACAACTACGATGATGCATTAGAATTCTAATTTCGTTTTGTAATATGAAAAGTATTTTTAATTTTGAAAGAACGTGGCATTATCAAAAATGGAAGGAAGTAAAAATAAACATTTGAAAATTAGAGAATGACACATCCTCTGCATTGTTGACCAAAAAAAAGACACTCATCCTCTGCACTTATGTGGTGTACAGTTCATAAAAAGAGAAGACAATCGAATTCGAATAAGAAGTTAAGAGAATCTAATTTTACTGTATCTTTAAATGCAAAGTTGCTGTAACAGCTAAGAAATATCGACCAATAACAGCAACCACGTGACTTGTCCACCAACCGGTTCTTCTGGGGTGCTCCCAAATATAGCCGGTTAAAGTCGGGTTCCCATTTCATCTCCACCAAGTTTATTTATAGTTCCTCTTATTGACACTGATGACTGATCACATACAAAAACTCATGGTAAAAACATGATTAGTGATAATAACAGTTTAGTAAAAGCAAAAGAAAGTACTAGGAAATCACTCTGATATAAAGGTGATGGAAAATGTAGAGTGATGAACTTATGAAAGCATCTAGGGGCTTCTCTGGCCCAAACTGGTTTTCGCTAACACTTTGATGTGCAGAATATATTTATTTAATTGCAACGTATAAAAATTTCTTTTGTCAACATATATATGACATCTCATATATATTGAGCTAATCCTAACCTTTTTGATACTAAATATGTACGGACATTTCTGCTACTATGGACATGGAATAAACTTATGTTCTCAAACTCTTCATGCAAACTTAAGGAATGAACTCATGTTCTCAAACTCTTCATGCAAACTTTGAAACACTAATTTCTGAAGCCAAGGACCAATCGTTCACCTCTAAACTAAACATAGTACTTAATAGAAATAAATAATTCATACAGAATTTGAAAACATTTATATGAATTCCTCAGTTAATGTAAATAATTATTTAAATATTAAGCTTTATCAAAGTCATGTGAAATCCGTATTATGAGTTCCTTCTAGTTGTGTCAGAAATTCATATTCTAATTGTTTTTTTGGTCGGCATTAATTAATTCTGTTTTGATGTTATATATTCAGAGGGAATACTGTTGATTTCTTAACAAACATAAATTGTCGAGGAAACGTACATCTGAGTATAAAATCAAGAAAAGAAACGGTTTATAATGACCCAAATAAATAAAATAATCTATACTACTACTAAATTACTAATACCAAATATATGGTTCTGACCTAATCTTTATTTTCTTAATTAATTTTATTGTTTTTGGCAAATTAGACGTGTTAATCGCTATGGGACAATGCTTCGTGGTCCCGATTTATATTATATATTCGGTTTCGCATGACAAGTTTAAAGTTAAATAAAAAAAAAAAGTTTGAAGTTAAATACTTATAATTCATGATTACTTCTTCTTCTTCTTTTCTTTTGTTCAAATAATTCATGCTTACTTCTATTTTGTGGATTTTTCAAACAGAAAAGTAAACCAAACCTAGCAAAAATATGTATTCGTAAATATTATCATAAACATGTGTGTCTAGATTAGCATATAAAGTGATCACTATGATTGTTGACAAAGAAAATGATACAATTTTTTAAAAACAATTTGCTTCTAATTGAAGATATCATTAGTTAGTTTTGTAGATAATTTTTTTTTTTTGGGGGGGGGGGGGTTAAGTTAGATAATTAGTTTGATAGATATCATTGTGAGCTAAACTTGTGAAAAAATGAATTACAAATAAAGTAAACTACTACTATCATTGTTCACCAAGGAAATGATATGATACATTTAGACATGTAGCATAACCATTTTTATAAAAGTGCTCATAAATTCAAGGTGACATTAATTAGTTGGTATAATATCATATAAACTAAATTAATCAAATGGTAGTGGTTTAGTGGTGGAAGGATTTACATTAAATAAGCAGAAAAAACGATTCACTTTAAATACTTTTTAAATCATCTTTATCTGTATCATTTATAGACCGCGCGAGAAACGTCTGGATCACTTCAATTATTTGGTTTACTAATTATATATATATGATTACAAATATGTGTTACGTTTTTTGTGTGCGCTAAATTCAATCTCTATATATATTACAAAACAACAGTGATAAAAAAAAAACAATAGAAACACAAACAACTCTTTGAACAAAAAAAAAGAAAAAAAGAAACACAAACAACTCTTATCTGCAAGCCACCATTGTATTATAAAACCAATTTTAAACAAGAGAAATTCAAATTAGATAATCACCCACTTTCAGTTTTTTTCTACTTATAATATTTATTATGTATTTTATTTTAATTTATTAATCTTTCTCCCATCGGATTCCAGCTAATAACACGAATTTCTATATATGCCTAAAAACCATTTCTCCAAGTTAAAAATATAAATTTATTGTGTGGTGTCTTATAATGCTCAATTAAATACATTTCCTTTTCATGAAAATATATTTTATTTTCGAGATTACCTAATTTATTCAATATTAAATTAAAAAACGGACAGACAAGGAAAAGTTAAAAAGGAAATTAATTGAAAGCCTGAAAAATATTATAAATATGTAACAAACGCTTTTTAATCTAGATATTTCCAAATTCAAATTAAATATATTCATTTTCTTCTTTTTTTTTCATCTAAACCAAACCACACAGCTTAAATAAACCTATTTTCCTCCACTTTCTTCTCTAACATTTCCTAATTTCATCCTAATAATTTCCAGTCTTTAATTCTTATAAATAACAAGAAAATATTTTCTGGATGATTTTCTTCCTCTTTGAATTATTATCTAAAGTCTACTTCTCTAAATAATATTTGCTTATTAAGAAAATTAAATCTTCTTACATCCCAAAATTTATATAAAGTTTGTCAAATTCAAGGAAAAAAAGAAAGTTACTCGTTTTTGATATGGAGGCAACCGGCGAAGTTGGTAAGCCATCCGGCGGTGGCCTTACGGTGGTGAGATCCAACGCGCCGTCGGACGTCCATACGGATCCAACGTCAGAAACTTCAAATCCACCTCCAACCTCCGTAGCTCCTCCTCCTCCTCCGCCTCGACATACCTTAGCTCCGACCGCGTCACCGCCAACAACGGAAGGCTTCCCCAGCGGGCCAACGAAGAAGAAGCGTGGACGTCCTAGGAAGTACGGACACGACGGAACGGCGGTGACGCTATCACCGAATCCAATATCTTCAGTCCCACCGAAGACTTCTCACGTCATCGATTTCTCTGCATCTGAGAAACGTAGCAAAGTGAAACCAGCAGCAACTGCAAGCTCCTTCATCAGGACAAAGTACCAAGTCGATAACTTAGGTAATAATTTTATTTATTTACTTTTTAAAATCTTTTGGTCTTAAATCATGTTACTGAATCTGAGTTCTCGTGACTTCAAAAGTCCAAAAGAGATTTTTTGGGATCTTTCTGAGTCTTTAAAGCTTGAAACATGCAAAGAAAAGCTTCTATCTCAAGTGGGACCCGCTTTAACTTAAACACAACCTTTTTGTCCGTACATGGCCTTCTACGTACATAGACCGTATGTTACATGTATTTGTTGTGGTTTTGATTTTTGAAGGTGGGTGGGCTCCTTCATCGGCGGGAGCTAACTTCACGCCGCATATCATTACGGTGAATGCAGGCGAGGTCAGGAGGACATATATATTTTTATTTTATATATAAGTTTGTGTGTTATTAAATAGACTAATAAGTGATGATGATTTGGTGGGGTTTATAGGACGTAACGAAGAGGGTAATATCCTTTTCACAACAAGGGTCTGTCGCTATTTGCGTTCTCTGCGCTAACGGTGTCGTTTCAAGTGTTACACTTCGTCAGCCTGATTCGTCTGGTGGTACACTGACATACGAGGTACGGTTTCAATCTCAATTCCTTTTGAGACAACGAACACAACTTGATGTAATAAATGGATTGGTTTATCATATTAAATGAAATTGAAACCAAACAAGAAACAACTAGATTATCTATAGTTGTTTATTTTCATGTCATGTTAGTTGATCTTGACGTTTGCTTCTGTGATTTCAGGGTCGGTTTGAGATATTATCACTGTCGGGAACTTTCATGCCAAGTGACTCTGACGGGACACGGAGCAGAACAGGTGGAATGACCGTTTCATTGGCTAGTCCTGATGGACGTGTTGTAGGAGGTGGAGTCGCTGGCTTGCTTGTTGCAGCCACTCCTATCCAGGTGGTCGTAGGAAGTTTCATAGCTGGAACTAAGCAGCATTACCACAACTTCATACCGTCTCCAATACCAACCATTCGTCCCACGTCGTCTTCTTTTCAGATGGGCACATGGACACCACCTTTAGCTTCTTATCCACAACACAAGCTCTCTCATGACTTTAACATCACTTTATCTTGATTTAGATCCTCTTTGTTTTGGTTTAGACACTCTCAAGGTTTAGGTTCTATGTTGGTTTTGTAACTTAGAATTGTTTCTTGGATGTAGTAGTTGAAGTTGAATCTCTTAACCAGCTACACGTTCTGGTTTTTACTCAAACCAGAGACACTTTAAACCAAGATCAATGATTTGAACCTTCGACCCAGCTGCAACCAAGTGTTTTACGCAGTTTCTTCTCTGCCATCTTCGCTCTTACGTTTCTTGCATCGTCCCATCTACCAACAGAAGTATAAATATTAGCAAGATGCGAAAGATAACCAGAAGGATTATCAGTCTCAAGCTCAACACAATGGCTACACGCTATCTCCCCAAACTCAACGTTATTATGTAACCCACTAGCTAAAAGCAAAGCTCCCCAAACTCCAACATTTGGCTGCATAGGCATACTCTTGATCAGCTCATACGCTTCCTCTAGCCTCCCTGCTCGTCCCAACATATCCACCATTACCCCATAATGATCAGCTGAATGTTCCACGTTGTATTCTCTCATGGATTCAAAGCACTTGTAACCATCTTGAACATGACCTGAATGGCTGCACGCTGATAATAGTCCTGTGAACGTTACTTGATTCGGAGTAATTTTCTTTTCTATCATCTCCTTAAACAAACGGTTTGCTTCTGTAGCCATGCCGTTTATCCCACACCCCATGATCATAGCTGAGTAAGAAACTGTATCCTTTTCGTTTAGACCGTTGAACAATTTAAACGCCTTGTCAAACTCTCCACCTTTCATGTAAAGATCTATCAGAGAAGTACTTAAAAGATCATCTATTTGGATTCCATGTTCAGTTACATACGACTCAACCCATGTACCAAAGCTTGTATCACCCAACTGTGAACTAGCTGAGACAACACATGAGAGAGTGATCTCATCAACCTGAAGAGTTCCTGAGTTAGCTTCAACCATCTGAGAGAATAGCTTCAGAGCATCCTTAGGCTTACCGTTTTGAGCATAACAAGCTATCATACCATCATAAACAAGTTTATCCTTCTTGTCCATAAGTCTAAAAACCTCCTCAGCAGACTCAACATCGCCGGATTTAGTGTACCCTGAGATCATTGTAATCCAAGAGACGCTACTCTTCCGCGGCATTGCATCAAAGCAAGTTCTCGCTAGCTTCATTTCACCGCAACTCACATACCCACCGATCAAAATATTCCAAGAAGCAGCGCTTTTCAAAGGCATGTCAAGAAACAAAGACCTTGCGTTGCTCATGTCACCTCTTTTAGCATAGCTAGAGATAATAAGATTCCATGAGACCACATCTTTCTCTTTAATCTCATCAAACACTCTCCTAGCTTCCTCTAGATCCCCACTCTCTAAATACCCTTGTAAAAGCGAGTTCCAAGAAACTATGTTCTTGTCGCCAATCTCATCAAAAACCTTCTTTGCCATCTCAATGTAACCAAGCCTCGAATACAAACCTACCAAACCTGTCTGAACATACACACAACCACATAACCCACTCTTAACAACCTGACCATGAACCGTGTTCCCATCAATCACACTCTCTATCTTACCACAAGCACTCAACACTGAAGTCACAGCATGTGAACTCGGAGGAACACCAGAGTTGTTCATCTCGATGTACAAGGTAACAGCTTCTTTGAACTTCCTGTGCTGGCTCAAGAACCTGACGAGACAACCCCATGAGAAAGTCGAAACCTTTGAAGCTCTGTAACTACCTTTGAGGAGGATTCGTTTGACGTAGTTTAAGACGTTTCGAGAGAAGTCTTTTGTGAAGTGGAGTGTTTGGTGGATTAAGATTGGTTCAAGATGGTTGTGGCGGTTCAATAGTAACTGAGCGTGGACTTGCTTGGTCTGTTCAAGTACTAAGCTTTTTTGAAGAAAGAATCTCAGCTTAGAATCCATTATTAGAGAAACCACCTTACAGCTTCAAGCTACCTAAAGATCCAATTTTTAATATTTAGATTCCAAGTCTAAACCTTTCGATCTTATCTAGGTTAATCGTACCTCATTGAACACAAAACGTTTGACAAGGGATAGATGAAAGCTTACGACTTATGGTGGAGACGTCGGCTATAGCGACGGCGACTTCTCTGTTGTGTAAAACCTGTTTGGGTTTTTCTCGGATGTTTGCATTTCGCACAAGAAGAAGATAATTTCTAATACTCTGACTTAGACAGAGGCTTTTGCGCTCATTAATTTTCTGTTTGCAACTCCAATAGCTAAATTTTTTCCGTCTTCCATGTTCCAAGAAAACGTTTGAAAACATTTAATCCATTATTCCAATTTTCAAATACTTCCTCATGGCATAGAGAAACGACTAAAACAATTAAAATTAAATATACAAAACGCTTATCTAAACCTTTTACTTCATATGTTCTGTATGTGTTTCTGTTGCTTATTTGATCTTAATTTCCAGAGATTTCTCGTCTTGCCGTTGGCTTTGCTTGCCGGGAATAGTCATAATGTTCATCTGATAACGTATCCATGTAGATGATAAAAAAAAAGCTTCTCCTTCGTATGATATTTCATCATAGAGTTGCAGCAAAAGCATGGTCTAATATACTGGTTATTATATTGTTCACTAGATTGTATAGAGTTTGAGTTACAAATCAAATACCATTTATTTACAAATACATATGTAACGATCTATGAATAATAAACTGTTTCTATGAGATCATTGAGAGAGCAACACAAACTAAAATATTATGTGCCACGCTCAGAAGTAAGTGTAGTATTGGGTTAAATCTCACTGCGTACATACCAATATGTTCCATAACTTTCTCGTTCTCCTCAAGATTTTCCCAATAAACTGAGCTATGCACGATTCAATCAAGTTAGAGGATGGAATAAGACTCGTTCTCACCGGAGAGATCCCAGGGAAAGAAGCTCCGGTTTCATGAGCTCTCTTTCTAAGGTAGAAGCTTCTACTTCCTACCTCTCCAATTATTTCTCTTTTATCCAAACCTGAAAATTTACATCAAACTATGTATATTTTATTATTTTCCTAACAGTTAAACTATTTAGAAAAAAAGAAGCTAAAATCATCGGTTGAAGCAACTCTTTTCTTATTACAGTTTTTGTTTTGTTCAATCTTATTATTATAGGTTATATAGCTCATGAATTATGTGATGTTTCTTTCTTTCACATGATCCCTGAGAGCTCTTTAAAATAATTCCCTCATTATTGGAAACTATAGTATAGTATATAGATATTTTTTTATCAAACTACATCAAACTGAAAAGATTTGATATATTTTTATTCTTCCACAAAAAGGTGAAACAATATTTTTTTTCTATATAGTGTTGTGTTATAGCTTACACTGGATGCTGAAATGAGAATGATGCAATTCAAAGACAGCACCTTCATCGAGTTTTGGTGTTCTTCCTTCTTTGCGATAATTCACCAAGACGAGTTTAATAGTTTCTTCGACGTTGCAACTCAATTTAACCATTGTTCTTATAGGTCCAGGACTTCCTTCTACCGCTACGTTGATTACCACCTTTCTTGCTTCTCCTTTATTAACCTGTTTTTTGGAATTTACTCGGATGATCAAATAACTCTTAACAGAAAATTCACAGCTCACTAAACTCTTATGATAAGGTTAATTTGATAACATTTCAAAATATTATGCTGAAACACACAAAATATTAAACCTTGTGGACTACATATAGAATTGTTTTACAAACATGACATCATGAGTTTGACTTGAAAAGTAGTAAGACAGAAATGAAACTAGTTGAGAAAGAAACAAAGTCTCTGACCTCTTGATTGGTCTGAAAAGGAGACGACGGTGAAGAGAAACCTAACAAGGACGGAGAAGAAGCGAAAACCTCAGAGCGAATCCTAGGCAAGTAGACGACCGGGACTGATTCTTCTGTCGGGGAACCGCTCATCACTGGCGATGGTCGCCGCATGCAGCTACCGTCTTCTTCACGGCGACGATTAAGATTCGACTCTGAGAAACTTCGGTCGAAAACGTGATTAGTATTCTTCGAGCGATCAACGCATCGGGAGGCCGTGCGTCTTGTCCTGAGGCTCCTACCTCCGTTTCCGACCGGAGTAGGAGCTCTTCTCCGGTGAATAGAATTTGACATTGTTGGTGAGCTGATATGACTTTGCTTGAGGAGAAGGAAGAAGAATGAAATTGAGAGGTTTTGGTGGGTTGCTTGACAAAGAAGCGAAGTGTGGGATTCTCTCTGCTTTACTCTTCTTTTATTTATTTTTCGTTTATAATGGTTTTTTTCCCAGTAGATAGTTTTACATAGAAGTAAGTGACTTTTAGCATTTTAAATTCTAGCCGACCAAAAAATTGCGATTAAAGGTGTTAGTGATTCATACGTGGTTCTTGTACTATGATATTTATTGTTACATTTTACAAAAATAAAATATACTTATATTTTTTGTCGTCATTATACTATTATATGATTCATTATCATGGTTCTTATGTATTGTGTTATTACTTATTAGTAATGAAATGCGTGGATGATGGTTACATTGTAATTAAGAAGACTTGTAGAAAAAACTATTACTAAAAGATGGTATAATTTATGAAGCCCAAAAACATTTAAATTTATCATTAATAAAATGCGTTAAAAAGTATAATACTATAGTCTAGAAGATTGCTTCAGAGTCTTACCTTTTCACAATCCCAAAGTGTTTATACAGGATTAGGAAACAAAATTGTTGGATTTGTAGAAACTTGTCACAAAACTCTTGGGTTTTTAGAAACTTGACACGTTATACAAGAAAACGAGAAACCCAAAACAAATTTCAGGAACCAAAATCCTAAAAACCAAAGGTGATAAATAAACAAATACAGAGAGACTCGATTATCATGTATTTTACGAAAAGTACTACTGATTAACGGATAAATACTAAACTCATACACTAGATTTAATAAGACTGTTTGGACCAAAAAATAAAGCTAATATGACTGATTAACGTCAAGAAATAACATGGCTCTTGTGTGGCTAAGATAAGTCCGAGGTTTGCTTTCAACTTTCTCATAGTTAAAGAGCTTTTAGGCGTGTTTTTAAGTTATCATTGGTATTGTCGACTCCATACGCACTAACCTTCACGCGTAACGCACTTGGTTTATTCAGTTTCCATCGTGTGTTACAATTTTACAATTTCCAACATCCGTTTGTGTTACATTTAAATATACTTTAGTTTCATGGCTAAATTTAAAGACTTTAGAATTTCAAACAAAATTTCACGTTTTTAGCAAAAAAAAATGTAACGTCACGTTTCGTGATGTAAGACGATTTATATTTACTTAACATCAATTGGATAACAGACTCATTTTATTTCAACGTTTTGCTATGCATATAATGTTATACTATTGTGTGATACGAAATTCACATATACATCAATACATCATGTCCACAAAGGTCAAGTAGTCAATGTCAATATCATATATCGTTGAATTGGTCACAAATAATGAATCTAATGGTTTCGAGTAAGTATAAAGTAGAATTAAATATAAAATAAATTGTATGAAAGAATTTGAGAAAGACAATCTAAAAAAAACAAGAAGAGGCTATGAGGTGTCTTCTACTTTTTGCATGTCAACATTTAACTCTATATCTTCGTTTTCATACAACGCCCGTGGCCATAATAACTTTTAGAAAAACACAGATGCCTTTGTAAAATGGAAAACTAAGAGAAGGAAACATTGCAGTATTAATCTGCAAATGGTTGTATTATTATTAGAGAAGAATTACGGGAAATTTTGTCTAAAATTTTACCATTCAATTAAGCTACCTACAAATATAAAAAGCAATATTGAGGTCTAATTTAGCTAAAATAGAATAAACAAGATATTTCTTAAAGATAAACTAGTTGCATATTTCGTTCATCTACCACGAACCCTCAACTTCTCAAGTCTGATGACTTAATCGTTGTTGGGCTACTTTAACGACTAGTTACAGTATCTATTTACTTGGAATAGGCCGACTTTTAGAATGGGCTTTAGAAGGGTCATTTTGTATAATCTTGTATTGAAGTCGAGACAAGTCAGACGAAGTCCACAGATCAACTACTCGGTACTCTTTGTTAATTTTGTTTCAACCTAATGGGGGCAAGTTGAGAACAAGCATAGTGGATAGAGTTCATGCTACTGCTGGCAGTGCTTGTTGTGTGTGTCTTTAACAAAGCTACTGTTTTTGTCTTCTATGAAAATTTCTGAAAGTAACTTTTTGATAGCAATAATGTGGAGACACAATCAGTTTTTTTTGGTCAAGAGAATTGGATTTTGGATAGCACAAATTACACCGTTCATGAACTTTGAACTAATAAGATTTGTAGAGACGGTTCTGTTCTTACTCATAGCAATAGCCTTACTGTAAAAAAGATGGGTGCATTTAGATCTTTCCTTACATGTCACAAAGTCTCAAACAGTCTAGAGAAGTTGGTGATTTCGGTTTAATCCGTAGTCCGGTTCAACAGAAACATTGCAGTAGTGCATGTCACGTGACACCACACATGCTAATGAACAGATCACTAGTGTGCCACGTCGTCACCACGAATATTCGCCAAGTCAGTAATATATAAAAACATAAAAAAACAAAATCCAGCTAACAACGACACTCTCCTCTCTCTCTCATCGCTCTCACTCTCTCTCTCTCGATCCAATTCCAACGTCAACGACAATCTCGCCGTCACCGGAACAACAATGATCCCATACGCAACGATCGAAGACGCATCAACAGCCTTAGGCCGAAACCTAACAACCCTCGAGACACTCTGGTTCAATTACTCCTCCAAAAAGTCAGATTACTACCTCTACTGCCACAACATCCTCTTCCTCTTCCTCATCTTCTCCCTCATCCCTCTCCCTCTCGTCTTCATCGAACTCTCCCGATCCATCTCCTCCTTCTTCGATCGGTACAAGATTCAACCCAAGGTCAAAAACTCCTTCTCCGACATGTTCCGTTGCTACAAAGACGTCATGAAGATGTTCATCCTCGTCGTCGGCCCTTTACAGCTCGTCTCCTACCCTTCGATCCAGGTAACTAAAGTTTCCACCTTTATGGCTCAATCCTTCGACCCACGTGATAAAGTTTCCACCTTTAAGGCTCAATCCTTGGATTCAAGTGATGAAGTTTCGATCTTTTTTGGAACAGATGATTGAGATTCGAAGTGGGTTGCCGTTACCGTCTCTTGGGGAGCTTGTGGCGCAGTTGGTGGTTTACTTTTTGGTGGAGGATTATACGAACTATTGGGTTCATAGGTTTTTTCATAGCAAATGGGGTTATGAGAAGATTCATTATATACATCATGAGTACACTGCTCCTATTGGTTATGCTGCTCCTTATGCGCATTGGGCTGAGGTTTTGCTTCTTGGTGTTCCCACTTTTCTTGGACCTGCGATTGCTCCTGGGCACATGATTACGTTTTGGTTGTGGATTGCTTTGCGCCAGATTGAAGCCATTGAGACTCATAGCGGGTAAGGAAGGAAAATTAGTACAGAGAAAATCAAAACAAAGGATCTTTCTTTCTTTTATGTCTGCATCAAGACAACTTTTTGAATTGTTTTTTTTTAACCAAAGGTTTCAGCTTTCTTTTGTTAGTATATCACTATGTGGGATCTCTGAATAGTGGTTCACCTTTTTTTTCTTTATTTGTGTGGGGGATAAGGTAAAGCACTAGCCTTTTCTGATACTTTCTAGACCCTTTTTAGCTTTTGAGGATTTTTTGCGTAGATGAACTTTTGGTGAGCATTCCCTATAGGCTAAGCATGAGAACATTCTTTAAATGATAAAGCCTCTCCTCTTGATGAGCAACATTAACTATCTAAAAGCAGAGAATTAGTTTTTATAGTATGATTTTTGTTTTTGGTGTGTGAAACTTGTTTTCTCCGGAGAGAGGTTGACTTGTTTGTGGTTTTGTTTTGCAGATATGATTTCCCATGGACTCTGACGAAGTTTATTCCATTCTATGGTGGGGCTGAGTATCATGATTACCATCATTACGTTGGAGGACAAAGCCAAAGCAACTTTGCTTCAGTTTTCACTTACTGCGATTACATTTATGGAACTGACAAAGTGAGTTTTTTACAACTTTAGTTCCTTTCTTGTTTAGCAGTTCTGGATGAAATCATTGACAATATGTTTATTATACTGTTTTTACTTTGCATAGGGTTACCGATTCCAAAAGAAGCTTCTTCAGCAGGTAAACACAAATACTCCCACAATTTCTCTTCAGAACCATAATTACAAATATACAAATGTGAACAAAATATCATATTGATGATATGTTTCTTGATGCTTTACTTTGCATCGACTCCATTACTTAGTGTTGTATGTTTATGAAATTATGAGTTGCAGATCAAGGAGGAGTCCAAGAAGAGCAACAAGCAGAATGGAGGAGATAAATTAGATTAGTAAAACCTGAAACTCCTCAGGAGGTTTGAGTTTACTTATCATAAGATAAGTTATGAGCAGTCTGCTAATCTAAACAAGTCAAGACTCGCAAAAGAAAGTGTAGCTTAGTTTTGTTCTCTTTTCCGCTTATGTTGTCACATGGAAACGCTCCATCGTTTTCTATTTGTGTGCGTTTTTCTCGAATTGTTTTTTCTTTGTTTAAACTCTTTTAAGTAAGGCATTATGATTTTGTATGGTGGAGGGAAAGAAGATTAGAAGAAATGAAAAGGAGTGCTGAGTCTGTCACTGTTTAATTTTCATTTGTCCTTTTTTGTTTAATAACGGGTATCAACAATGCCCGTCTAGCTCAGTTGGTAGAGCGCAAGGCTCTTAACCTTGTGGTCGTGGGTTCGAGCCCCACGGTGGGCGATTAGCATTTTTTTATTATGATAACTTAACCAGTTTCTTCATACAGACTTTGCTTTCAGTCCAGCAAACTCTCGGATTCACTTTTTTGGGGCTCAAATTCAACTCTAATCAAAGTCTTGAGTACATGCGTCTAAGAATATTCACAAGTGTGTTTCTAACTCCAATTGTAAATTACTTTTAAACCTTTCCATACTTACAATTTGCAACATCTCCTATGTTCCAACACTTCCTTACTTATAACATTGCTTGTATGTTTCTATTGATGACAGTGACGGGTTCCACGGGGAATCTCTACAAATGTTCATTAACACATGGCTTACGGAAGCACTGATATTGGCCATGTTTTCTTTAAAATCTCCGTGATAGCGATCAGCAACCACAGTATAGAGAATACACATTAACCAGCTACCAAAGTAGTCGCAACGTCGGTCAAAATAGCCGTAACAACCATTTTAACTTTTCCAGTGAAAACGAAGACACCGGTATCGCGGTATCATCCATTAAAACCAATCACAGCGATACCTTTATATATATTCTCCAGCTCTCTCGTTTAATTTGGGGATAGCATTAGCTATTCCGTTCTGAACATGGCTAATATACTCCGAATATTTGATATTATATTGAAATTGCTAATTGTTTGATGGAAAAATTGGTATTTATTTTTTTGTAAGAATTAAGAATTAAATTTTAGTATCATTTATTTTATTATATATATTAAAATTAATCTATAACATTATTTGAGAAGTAAATTTGCTTAGTTGTCAACTTCTCCATGATTTTAGGTTAGTTTTCTTATTTTCATGTTTTAATAATTTATTATATAATAAAAACGAATTTATGTTAATAATATTATATTTTTAGAAAATATGTTAATTCTTTTGTATTAGATTGTTATCTTAAAAATATATTTTTCATCTATAACATTATAACATTATTTGAGAAGTAAATTTGCTTGGTTGTCAACTTCTCCATGATTTTAGGTTATTTTGCTTATTTTCATGTTTTAATAATTTATTATAAAATAAAAACGAATTTATGTTAATAATATTATATTTTTTTAGAAAATATGTTAATTCTTTTGTATTATTTTTTTATCTTAAAAATATATTTTCAATTATAAAATTTAAGTGAATTTGTTGATTACTTTGTAACTCTCACGTTGAAAGTT